GATGGGGTTGAACTAGATCATCAGTTCTGAATCCTGGCCTGCCTGTTGAAAATGACCTTATCCATCCCTGGGTTGGTTCCTAGGAATCTAGGTTTGTCTTGAGCTCCCTGGATGACCCTGGTGGGCTGCCAGGTTTGAGAACCACTTATAGAGACAGACACATGCCCAGAATGTCTTCTAGCATTCTGTGTTCTCTGATGTCCCAGGATATAATTGCTAAGGTTGGATGTAATCCCACCAGTAGGAGACAAAGCTTGGCTGACCCTCGAAGGGCAGGGTTCCTTGCTTCACACCCATCTTAGACAATCAGGTTGTTATATTCCAGGGCGAGGTCATCAAGAAATATCATCTCCACTTTGTCCTTTAAGAAGACTCAGGAATTTTTGTTTCTGTTGCCCTCTTAAGGCCCTTTTCTTTGGCAAAATAAACTTTTCAATTTGTATAAATTATTAAACGGAATAATGCATTCCTCCTTCCTCCCTTGGCAGGGGAAGTTGTGGGTGCTAGCAGAGGGTGGGGGAAGCACTGGAGATTGTAGAACGTTCCTGCAAATTTTCCCACCCTGGTGATCTCAACCCCCATCCTGGCATCCAGCCCTGTCAGAACAGAGAAGGGAGTGAGCATAGCAGAGCCCTCCCCTCTTCCCACCCCAGGGCTTGGGGAAGCTACTGAGGTCAGGTTCTGGTTAGAACTCAAGGTCAGCCTTCATCTGCCCCTTAAATGTCTGATCTTTAAGTGTCTGATCTTCATCTTCCCCTTCTTTAAGAGAGAGTGAAGTATCTGCTGATCACTCTTGACCATTATATACAGGAACTCTCTTCCGCAAATCCCCCCTTTCCTACCCCCAAAAATGTGCTTTCAGGGCTAAAAATGAAGCCACTTCCTGTTCTTTAGATGAGGACATGAGCTGATCAAAGTGGAGGCCAAGGAGGGGCCCTGGCTTCTGGGCTTTACAGAGACGCCGACCCTAAGCTTCCTTCTTATAAGGACCATGATCTCATATAAGTTGAGTTGCTAATGGGAAAAGCTAACAGCACCTATTTTAGTGGAAAAGCATTGACCTGGAGTTGGGAGATCCAGGTTCCAATCCTGACTCTGCCTCTTACCATTGTGTGTGACCTTGGGTGCATCCCTTCACCTTCTTGGATCTCAGTCTTCCTTCTCTGTGAAATAAGTCTAGCAATCACTGTATACTTCATCAGAATTGATGAAGTATTTTGGTCAACATGGATTTGGGGGACAGAAGTGTATACAATTTTTTTTTCTTCTTTCCATGACTTTTACCCCAGGATTTATAGGCTCGGAGGGAGCTCTCTCTCTCTGCAGGGTCTTCATTTGTTAGGATTTCTTCCTCCTTGGAAGTTTCACTGGGACTGGAGGAGAGGGAGAAATTAGGAGAGAATAATGGGAATGAAGGATGTGCACACAGGAGGTGGAAGAGGGAATGGCCTTAGAACAGGTTGCGGTCAGGTCTCTGATAGTAGATCCATCTTTTTCGGAAAAAAAAACATTCGAGTTAAGAAAGTCATGGAATGTGTTCTGTAAACTCATTGGCTGGTGGAAAAGCAATAATGCACACAGAGAAGCACCCGGCTTGCAGCTGTATAACCTGGGTTTAATTTTTGGCTTTATGCTTTCTAATTTTATAAAAGCTCGGAAAGTTAGATTACATTCCTGAGTCTCAGCTTTGTCATCTATAAAATGACCATGAAAATATCTAGCTTTTTATGAAGCTGGTGCATGTAAAAGCCTGGACCACAGTATAAGCTCAAACTTTGGGGGAAAAAAAATTTCTCCTCCACTTTAATTCCACTTTATTTTTTTAATGAATTAATTTATTTAAAAAATATATATGTATATGTATATACACCACAAACACAAACACACACACACACACACACACACACACACACGCGGGATTTAACTCAAGTATGCTTTAGCACTAAGTCACATCCCCAGCCCTTATTTATTTATTTATTATTTTTAATTTTGAGATAGGGTCCCACTAAGTTGCTTAGGGCCTCACTAAGTTGCTGAGGCTGGCTTCAAACTTGTGATCCTTCTCATCAGCCTCCCAATTCCACAGGATTATAGGCATGCACCCAGCTTTAATTCCATGTTAGGAATTTTACCTGGCTTTAATTCCATGTGAGGCTGAAGCATGCCAGTCAATTTCTGGCTTTGAAGTTCATGTCTTTAGCATTATAATCTACCTACATTGCCAGTAGGAAACAGCAGAGCTCCTGCAAACCAACCCAACTTTTGTCCTAGCTTATTAAACTTATACCATCAATTGTAATTACTGTTTCCTTTTCTAGACTTTTCAGATTCCAAAGATGGAGGCCGGGGGCATTAATCTTTGTCTCTCCAGTGGCTACCCCCAAACAGTTACTCAAAAAAAGAAAGAATATTAGATGAGTGAGCACATGACATGGGTTATTTTTAGTTTTTGTAACAACAAAAATAGTGTGAAGTAATCTTTTGTTTTTATATTCCATTGTGGCTTGCAAATAATTTTGCATGAATTAGTTTAATATAATCCTAACCAGAAGCCCATGAGTAATGTCATACCCAGCCAATTTCATATCCCATTTCGTAATTGGGAAAAAACAGAAGCCCAGAGAAAGGGCAGGACATATGTAATTTATGTCCAGGGATAGAATCAAAACCAAGACCCTAGCCTAACCTCCAGTGGCTAGTATCCATCTAGAAAATTTATTAGGCTACTGAGTGTAATGCAAACACCAGGCTCTCAGAAATAGGAAGCATTTAGACCCAGTCCAAAGAAAGATTCTGCATCTATTTTTTGAAATTCTTCTTGCAAGGCGAGGTCTAAGGGCCATCTCCTCCTGGAGCCCCAGAAGTGAAACCAGCCTCTAAATTATTACAGCACTGGCTTTTGCCTTCCATCTCACCAGCACACTGATCATGGGTTGCCCTGTATCAGAGGCAGCCAGAGATGTGTATCCTCACACTTCTCCCCAACCCATCCCTAGAAAAGGTGTTTGTCACCTGTGTCTCTTTCCAAGCCTACCACCCGGGCTCACTGTGCTCTATAGAAATGTCTGTTGGAGGGAAAGAGAAAAGGGAAGGACTCTTGCCTTCCTTCGGCCAGCACTGTGCGCATGCGTACAGTAGATCTGGAGCAGGACAGGAAAAATATGAAATGAAAATTTGGGAGGAAAAGAAGTCTTAGGAAGAGTTAACCTGTGCATATTTGTGAGGTTAAAAATTTAGTTTTGTTACCACTGTTCCCCAATGTTGAAGAATAACACCAGAGAAGCACGCAGAGGCAAGGTCAGAGTGGAAAATTAGAAGTTTATTAAAGGACAGCAGAAAAGACTTCTCCCGGAGGAAGAAGGGGACCCAAGA